GCCGATAACTAAAAAAAAATAAATATTAAAATTCTCTCTCTCTCTCTCTCTCTCTCTCTCTCTCCCTCTCTCTCAAAAAAAAAATATATATATATACAGAACATTTACAAAAATCATCCATTTGCCAGGGTTATAAAAAAGTCCCATCAAATGTCCAAAGACCTAAATCACCTATATGTTCACAAGGCAACTAAGTTTGAAATCAGTAATAGACATCAGTCACAAAAAGATAACTAGAGAAAGCCCACGTGTCTAGAAACTAAGAAACCCAGATAATTAAGAAATGAACTGCTAAATAACATTTAGATTTTTAAAAAGTATTGAAAATCAGATAACATAAACAACAATGAAAACATACATTTAAATGTACATGTTAGAAAAAATGCTGAAATGCTGGGGTTATGTATCATCGGTAGAGCACTCGCCTAGCATATGCAAGGTCCTGGGTTCAATCCTCAGTGCCATATAAAAATAAATAAATAAARTAAAGGTATTTAAAAAGAGAAAGAAAAAATGCTGAAAATGAGTTAAGGGCACACTAGAATGTTAAAAAATAAAGAAAAAATGATATGCAAAAATTACACAGAAAACAGATTATTTATTCTCAAACTGGTATTTGAAAAGATAATAAAATCCATAAAAAGAGAAAATCAGTACAAATACAAGTATCAAGAGACATCATTATAAATGTTACAAGCATTAAATAGTTAAGAGAATAACATAACTTTATATCAAAAATGTGAAAACCTAGAAATGAACAAACTTCTAAAAATTAGCTTATCAAAATGGACTCAACAAACTAGAAAAACTTAATAGTCCTTTATTCACAAATAATATTTATTAGCAGTCAGAAATTCTGCCATAAAGATAAGTATAAATCAGATTTCTTCATCAGTGAGGTCTACCAGGCATTCAAGAATCTTTCCAATCATATACAAACTCCTCCAGAGATCAGAAAAAGAAGGAACAACCCCAACTTTTTTCCTAAGCCTAGCATAATTTTCATACCAAAATCTATTAAGGACAGATGAGAAAATAAAATACAAGCCTGTTTCACTCTCTGCCAAAAGAAAAAATAAATACACACATACACACATTTATATACAATAAATATATTTTTCTATATATTCAGAGAATATATTTTACTAGTTTAGATTTATTTGAATATAAACAGACTATAATATAAACTATACTCTAACTTACTATATAGAAATTGAAACATTATCAAGTCCAAGTTTGGAGTAATATTAGAAACATCAATAAATGTAGCCACTAAATTAAAAAATTAAACAAGACAAATCATAAGACACGCAGGAAAAAGCTTTTGTTAAAATGCAACTACTACCGATTATTTACAAACTAGTCTTTTAGCTAACTTGGAGTAGATAAGGACTTCCTCAACCTGATAAAGGCTATCAACAAAAAGCTACAGCAAAACCAAGATTCAGTGATAAAAGGCTGGGAACAAGATAAAGGCTCCCATCTTCCCTACTCCTAGTTACAATTGCCCTGGAGATCCTAGACAACCCAGTAAAGCAAGAAATAAGTAAATGACATAAATATTATAAAAGAAGGAACACAATTCTCATTATTCACAGAAGACTATGTGATTATACATTAAAGAACCCACTATAACCTCAGATAAATGAAGTAACAGTTTTTAATAAGATTGCTGGATCCAAAATCAATATGAAAATTGTTTCTATATTCCAGCATCACATGGTTAATAATCTGAACTATATGAAATTGCCAATGTTTGACCATTTTTGAAATACAAAAATAGCAACTTCATATGCTCAACCRTATGTATAATTACATATGTATATCATTAATGTAATTACAATTATAATATAATTATATCATAATAATTAATAATTCTATTATTATAATCATATATTATTTAAGTAACAATATATAATGGGACCAAAGTATGAAAAACCCATAAATAAATTTAAGGAATCTGTGTGTAAGTTTTAAAATATATATATATATATATAAAACACCCTGCAAGATAACAAGATAACAAACAAGAACTAAATAGATGACAATTTTTTGAGAAAACTCAATTACCTAACTACATGGAATTTTACCAAAATTGATCTATATGCAATATGCTCAAATTAAGATACTAATACTTTTATTTGCTTGATTTTTGGATAGGGGAGACTGGTGTCAATAAGTAATAAACTAACTCAAAAACTTAAGTGGAAAAGAAAAATAAAAGCCAGGGCAAAATAAAGAATGAGGCCAAGGCTTGAAGAATAAAATATGAGGACCTATTATATATCAATCAATTCTTAATATAATGCTAATATGATAATGTGCTTGGTGGAGAGACAGACTACCAGCCCCACAAGATTAGAAGAGTGACTATTACTGTTTGGACATCAGGTATCTCACAAAAGCTCCTGTGTTGCGGGAATATTCAGAGTTGAAATGATTGAACTATGAGAGCTGCAACCTATTCAGCCATCCTAGTTTGAATGGACTGATTAGGTGGTAAAGTATAGGCAGGTGGGTCATGGATAGAGGAGGTGGATTACCAGGGGTCATCTTCCCCTGAGTCCCGTTTCCCCTCCCTCTCTTCTTCTCACCATCCCTTACTTGCTTCTGGCTGCCAAGAGCAGAAAAGTTTCCCTCTACCATGCCCTTCCACGATGTTCTGCATGATCTTGGGCCCAGARCAATGGAGTCGGCCAATCATGTACTAAACCTCTGAAACCATGAGCTAGAATAAATGCTTCCTCCTCTAAGTTGTCTTGTTGCATATTTTGGTTACAGCAAAGAAAAGCTAAGACCGTGAGTAATGAGTGAGTATCAAAGGTTCCACACATATATCAACACATGAAACAAGAACAGGATAAAAAGTGGATTGTTCAAAATATGACCCTGGAACAAATTGGTATTTGTAAGAAAATGACTGCCATCATTTTCAAGAAAATCAATTAAAATGAGTTAAAGGCCTAAATGTAAAACATGAAACTACATAAGTTTTTAGTAGGCAGAGAGTATCTTCAAAACCTTAGGATAAGAAGTTAAGGCACAAAAAGCACTAACCACAAAAACTGGGGAAAAAAATACTGTTTTAAAATTAATAAAGTTTGTCCTTCAACAGACACCAAAGAGAATAAAAAGGTAAGTCAAAATTGCAGGTATTTTTAACATATATTCCTGAAAGGACTAAGATCCAGGACATATGAAGAATTAGTATTAAAAAAACTAAATTAAAATATTGGCAAAAGACCTAAACAGGTACTTCACTGAAGAGGAAATCTAAAAGGCCAATACATATATAAAAAAAGTTCAATTACATTAATAATCAGGAATATGCAAATTAAAAAGATAAGGAATACTATTTCACACCTGATGGGTTTGCAAAAATTAGAACCTAATGATACCAAGTGTTGCCAAGGAAATGGGAATTGGGAACTACGTGAATTCTATCTATGACTCAACAATTGGGGCTGTTCTCTGGAGTAACTTTTGCACTCAGTTGACACTGACAAGAACTTCTTAGAACCATCTTCCATAAATACCAAAAACTGGGRAAAAAAATGCCTGGCAACAGCTAGAATGGTCATTGGGCTCTAGCCTTAGTAGGACTAGATTAAAACAACTGTATTGCCAGTGTCCAACAACTGTAGAAGAAGCACACAAATTAAGGTATATTCACACAACATAATACTATAGTAATGAAAAAAGAAGACTACAGCTACACACAATAACATGAATGAACCTCACAAATAAAGCTTAGCAAAAGACAAGTTACATATAATAGAAAAAGTTTTAATCTATTCATATGAAATTTACAAATACATAAAAATCAAACTATTTTCATTTACAACACAGGTGAAAAAATTGAAGAAAAAGATTATCACAAAAGGTGAGACAGTGATTATCTCCAGAAAGTGAAAGACAATGTATGGGGAGGTTAATGGGGTATTTTTAAGGTACTGCTGCTTTTGCTTCACTTGCAGAAAAATTACCTGAATAACAGCCTTCTTTAAATTGGATGAGAATATGTAGTCTCTGTGTGATCTATATACAGTGAGCTGTGTATGGTTTATTTTACTATTTGTCAGACAAAGTAAAAATATAAACTCACACATATGTCTTTTGGGGAATTGTAAACCAGACTGTGATTATCTAAAACTATGCAAAATATTTCAGATGCGCTCCAAAATTCAGGTGAGTTGAATCAAAAGCAAAATATTTTAATTCTGCCCAGTGGCTAACTTACTTACATAAATTCAAACTGGTTCATTCTTTTATTATCATTAACATGAAACACACATTGTACGAGTTTCATATACTCCTCATTCATTTAACCCATCACACTGCAGAAGCTTTCTAACAGTCTGATAATTGGCAAACAGGCCACAATGGAAAAGTAGAAAAGTCAGTGAGCAGAACATAACATGAGATAAAAAGACTACCATTTCTGTTTCTGTTTCCAGGAAAAATGCCTAGGATGATGGCAACAGCTAGAATGGTCATTTGGCTCTAGCCTTAGTAGGACTAGATTAAAACAATTATATTGCTAAGTATCCTGGCTTACTGATCTGGCTGATAAAAAATTTTAAAGCAACTTACAAATACTCTTATTTACAGAATCCTTTTTTAAAGTCCTTAATGTACAGGGCCATCCTTCTGACTGGACCTCATTTCTGAATTTTTGATGGCCCAAGACAATACTAAATTATTATTTGTAAGACAGAGCAAATTACTGTTGCACCTTAAGGAGTCAACCTTTTGTCTCTCAGATAAACTCTAAATTTGTTCTAAAAGGGAAACTGATGAGCCTCTCCTACACATTGGGGGCTGGGGGAGACCCCAGTGGTGGTGGGGCAGTGGGAGGGAAGTATATGTGTGGGGGCGTTTCTCCTAAATAACCATAAGACAGGAATTGGGGTCCTGGGTCAAAACAAGAAAAGATGGGAAAAAATACTCTGGACCAAGTGAATTGCCAATCTCTTAACTAGAGAGTTCAGTAGTTGAATTTTATTTCTAGAAAATAAGACCATTTATAAATGTTTTTATAAGCATACTTCTGCTTTTCTAGGCATGCACTTGGATAAGAGACTGAAGTTCACTGTCCAGTTTTTTACTGGAAACTGGACATTCTGGAGATGACAACTCTACGGCCCATTGATACATTCCTGCAGCCAAGAACAATACATGAAAAGAACACTGAGTCTGGGATTTAGGATAAAGATTCATTTCTAAAGCAGGGGCTAGATTTGTAAAGAAGGACCTAGTCCTTCTCATTCAAGTGACCCTACCTCCATCAAACACTCCCACAGCACTATCACATCTCCCTCAAGACTGTCCTGTATGGTGACATTGTTTTATCCTTTCAATCAAAAAAAGGGGCTTATTTTGAAGAGGAAAAATCATACATGAATTTTATCATTTTACTTCTGTACATGCTTTTCCTGGGTATCTCTTTTCATCTTATCTTTTCTTCTTACGTGTCTTCTAAATGGAAAAGAAATTTTTGGATAAATCTTACTGTTTTCTCTATATCTATTCTCCTGAAAGTTAATTATAATATTTGCACCATTTGCAAAATTAGAAAAGTTAGACAACTCAAAACTAGACAAACACTATTCTCACTGGCACAAGTATATGAAAAGTAAAAAATGGATAGAAGTAATATACAATCTTAACTTGGCTGCTCAAAGATTAAGTCAAATATAAAAGCATGAAAATCTAAAATCTACCTTCTAAAAAACTTCAAAGCTACATAAGGAGATTTCAAAAAATATTTTTCTTCAACTACAGATTACAAACCAACAATCAGCCCGTTTATATGCTAACAGGTGAATTATACTAGCCAGAATTATGGTTGCAATGATGATGGTGCAGGCATTACCTGATTTCCTCAGGACATGAAAATTATCCACTTTATATTTTTAAAGCAAATGTCTGGGAACACATATTAGGTAACCATCTAAATTTTTAAAGCAAGGCACTTAAACATGCTTGAGAATGTATGTAGGCCTCTAGATCACTTGCTGAAATGAATGTTTTCCAATATTACTCATGTGGCTCTAAACAGGTCTTCACATACCTGATTTCTAAGAACATGGGTTAGTAGGCTATGGACTAAAAACTACTTGCTACTAAGGTTCCTGGCAGGGGGGACATTATGTTTTAACAAACAAACAGATGTGACATCCAGACCCTAGAAAAGCATCTGTCAGGTAACTTTGAGGGAATTTACAAACATTATACAACAAAGTGTACAAATCATTAATTACCTTTCAGGGTTTCCAGCAAATTTTTGGCTACAAACCAACATATGGCTTCAAAGAAAGGGAATTTGAAAAGATCTGGTGTTTTTAGTCTTTTCTCCATCTCATAACACCTACATAAATAAGATTTGAAGAAATATTTAGTATTAATATTAGTATTTCAAAATAGTTAATTAAAGGTAGCCAGTTAAAAATAAAATAAGCAGGGCATGTTACATAAGACATACCAATCAAGTATAGTAWATTACTTACTGTAACATTTGAACAACACTGAATTGTGATCTTATCCAGGTTCTGACCTTCATAAACTTGATGGTGTACTTAAGAATTATAYTGGGCTTTCATGAAAGGTCATTGAGATCTGTATCCTAGTTTTAATAAAAGATACTTTACRAGGGTTCCACCATTATGAATTAAATAGTATGTTTAAAATTAGCTTCATGTGTTGGACAACACTGCAGCACCCACTCAAGCATTCAAGATCGGGACCACATTGGGCACTACACTAAGGTATAAAGACAAGAACCACAGTTTTCCATGATAACTGTGAGTCTTCTGTAGGAGTCCATGCAGCTGTCCCTATATAAGCCATATTTCCTCCAATGACAGCTCAGGTACAAAGAGATCAAATCCAAATTTGACAGGTGTGGGACATACCCTGGGTTAAAGCCTCATGACCTCATAGCTACTATCTTCTGTAATAACTCCACAGGTGCAGAGCATTCAGGGTTCCCTGAGCACGTGCAAAGTTACAAGTCCCCACATTCAGTGAAGCCCAAAACTACAACCTAACACCAAGAATTTCTAGTTCTCCCAGTCCTTATGCATTTTATCAGTCACGAATTATTTGTACCATAAGCAATGTTGCACCATAACATTCTACCCTCATTACTATCTGGGGAACAGCAGATAGTCTAGTCCTTCTCATACAGAAGGGCAATAGCTATTAATCCTTTATCCAAAGCAAAACTAAAACAGGTGTTCTGACAGCAATATCAACTTAAGAATTGGTTTGTTCCAGCATCAATAGTTACATGTAAGTCTGGCTAACTTAATTCATTTACCTTAGGGCAAAAATAGCCAAATAAGAACATACAAATATTTATAATTTTTTTTAATTTGGAGGRATATTAAGTTATTATTTTTCTTTTAGATTTGAAATGCATCAAGGAATCCTCCTGACAAAATTTTAAAATAATAGTTTTGTTAAAAATTTCTATTCCTAATGATTTCTCAAGGCCTATCTCCATGGACTCTCAAATAAAATATATCACAATTTTTCTTAAACAAGCAAACAAAAATGTCCTGTTTAAGGAAGGATGAAAGATCCTTTCAAAATTAATGACACAAACCTGAGCTGCATGCCAATGTTAAGGTTGTGCAGAAAGTTCCCCCCAAAAGCCATACAGTCCTGAGAAGTGAGCACAGCATGAATCCACCCTGAAATGGTTACAAACGTATAAATTAATGCTTTTCAACATTTCAAAATCAAACAAGCTGGTTGCCACGGCACAGACTTGTAACTCTAGTTAATCAGGAAGCAAGTGGATCACAAGTTTAAGTCCAATCTGGGCAACTTAACATAGTCTCAAAATTTCAAAAGGGTCCTAGGATGTAGTTCAGTGGTAGTGTGTTTGCCTAGCATGTGTGAGGCTCTAGGTTTGATCCCAACTACCTCAAAACATGCAAAACAAAACAGGTATGCTATCTACCTGAGAAATAAGTAACTCAAATATCAACATCTCTTTCCTTCATACTCCAGTGCTAAAGAAATTAATGATTGAGGCATTCAATTAAATATTAAATGCCTATAATATGCCAGACTCTATGCTGAGTTTGAGGAATAAAGTGAAGGGTTTTGGTGGTAATTTTTTTAGTTTAAAAATATAATATTTAGCATTTGTCTAAGATTAAAGATTTAAAGAGACAAGTCAAATGTGCTTTAAAATTAGGAAAGCACATTTGCCATTAAAAAACATGGGGGCTGGCTGAACATTCTGCTTCTCTGGTGTCACACTGAACTGAGTGTCCTGAAGGAAACAAGCAGAGGAGGATCGAGGAACCCAATAAGACCAGACTCTGTAAGAAGGAAAAGGCAGATCACCCACATTTAATTATTATTTTTTAAATATTTTTTTAGTTGGAGACAGACAAAATACCTTTATTTTATTTATTTATTTTTAGGTGGTGCCAAGGATCAAACCCAGTGCCTCACACTTTCTAGGCAAGTGCTCTACCACTGAGCTATAACTGCAGCCCTACCCCCACACACATTTAATTATGGAGAGACATGGTCCTATAAATATAAATGTTGGCAATCAAAATGTTTTGTTTTCTCATTAGTATGTTTTCAAAGTGAGAATCATTTCAAGAGATGATAGCCTAACTTCTGAAAGAAATGCTAAAATACTTAAGTCTTTCAGTACAGAAGTATAMATTTCAGTATAAATATGTAACGACAAAGCCCACTATTATGTATAATTATAGTGCACCAATAAAAAAAACAGGAGAATAAAAAAAGAAATATAAACTCCACTGGGCCTTCATATAGGTACAAAGCCTGTTCATTCACAACCTGAGCATAGAAAATAGAACTTCATTATACATCTAAACAATATATTTCTGAGTGGTTTGGGCACAATTTCCAGGAATATAACTACTCTGTAAATTGAAGGAAACTATAGAAACTATAGTTTAGTTTGTATAGAAATATATCAGTTGCCAACTACTCTGGAAAGAAACATCACATTGCTTATAGCAGTGTTTCTCCAAATGTGGTCCCCAGACCAGATACCAGCATCAGTTGAGTACTTGTTAGAAACAAATTCTCAGGCCCACCCCAAATTGACTAAATCAGAATCTTGGGGAAGGAGGCCAGCAATCCGGTGGACAAGCCCTCCAGGTGATCCATAAAATTTGAAAACCACTAACTTCTGCTCATGCCACTAACAGAATTTGAGTTGCCATTAGCACGTATCTATACTGATTTACTGACTTACACAGTTAACCAATTCATTCGGTCCTCTATTGCTGCTGTGCACACAAATATCAAAATAACATTTCATTATAAATTACCTTTTCATTTCTTCTTTATATTCTAGTTGTTAAGTCAACTTTTAAAACAATGATTCATGTAAGTTATATTATCTATAAATTTCAATTTAAGATTTTGAAGGGGGTACAACAAAATATTTACTATAAAAAGAAGCAAGGAAGAGCTTAGTCATTCATAATGAAATACTGACACTTAACCAGGCAAATCATGGTGGTTCTGGTCATTGATTCATTCACTTATTTAAGCACACATTTATGATTATATATACCAGAGATAAGGTAAAAAGCAGGCCTATGGTAACAGAACCCTGTGAAGCTTACAGCCATTGAGGTCACCCAACTAAAGGAACACTGTCCTCAAAACCATTGGTCTGGCGAGTTTATACACTGCCATTCATTCACATCTCAGATTGACACGCTGATACATCACTATACTTGAGGTATCAGCTTTTCTCAGTTTTTTGTTTGTTTGTTTTATAAAGCACAGTTATTTGGAGGATAGCTTGGCTGTTCCTCAAAAAGTTAAACACGGAAACCACCAGTGCAACAATTCCACTACTAGGTATACACCTAAGAGAAATGAACATACCGCCACATAAAAACTTGCACACAAATGTTTAAGGCAACACTATTCAGAATAGCCCAAAGTGGAACCCAAATGTCCATCAACTGATGAATGGATAAATAAAATATGGTATACCCTACAGTGGAATATTGTTGGGCCACAAAAAGATAAAGTACTTATGGCCTCCTGATGCTTACCACAGGCTGGGTTTGTATATACAAAGAGGAGGCAGAGTAAGCCTACCCCATGTACAACTCAGCCCAGGACCTGTGTCTGGTTAGTGTTGTGAATGGGGAGACATGGAAAGAGGGGGAAAAAAAGATAAAGTACTTATATATGGTATAGCATGGATAAGCCTAGAAAATATTATGGTAAAGCAAAGAAGATGGACACAAAATGCCACATTCATAAAGTGTCCAGAATAGCAAATCAAGAGAGACAGAAAGTACATTAATAGTTGTCCTTCCTCTCAGGGAAGGGGGAAACGGGAAGACTGCTAAAGGGTATGTGGTTTCTTTCTGAGATAATGAAAATGTTCTAGAATTAGATAGTGTTGATAGTTATGCAGCCTTATTAATCAACTAAAATTCACTGAATTATATACTTTAAAAGGATGAAAGTGATATAGCATGTGAATTTTATTTCAATGATACTAAAAGTGAAGGCAAATGAAATGATGCCAAAAGGAACAATAACAAGCCCGCTAAAACACAATTAAGTAAAAAGCCCAAGATCAGAATTATTTCTTAGGCAAATATGGAAAAGTCATMGGTCCTAATTACAAGATGTAGCTTGTATCAACTATTAATAGTAGGGGGTGGGATTAAAACCTTACCTGTGGGAACAAATAAGGTATGCCCCTGCTTTACCACACATTTATAGCATTTATCCACTTTATCTCCAAAGAACACTTCACTCTGGGTCACAGATGAACTCCAAGATTCATAGAGTGCCAAATTTTCATTTGTTGGCTTTATCAAATAAAAAATCTTCTCACCCTAAGAGGAAGTAACATATGATATAATTTTGGAAAAAACAAATCATTTTAGGATGGCCTAACTGATACAATTTCCCAATACAATAATCTGAGTTAAATTAGATAATTATCAGATTGTTTAGGTCCAAAATATCTATGTCACATACCTGATCAATAGTTAATTCCCTTAATAAGCATTTTCACTGGAGCTAAAGCTCCCCCTACCCCCAAACTAATCAGGAGTCAATAATCAAATTGAAGAAAGGAAGGTAATAAACCAAAAATAATAATAATAATAATAATAAACCCACTTGCTGCAACCCACAGCGTCAATGAAGGATTCTCAAGTAGGGACAATGGGAGATGAAGAAAAAACACAGAGACAAAGAAGACACAATAATTTAGATAATTTCACTAAAAAAGCTGGGGGCCAGGTGGGAAAACTGCACTCTGATGGAGTAGCAGTGACCCAGAACTAGTTCCAAAAGTTTATTATATAGATCTCATAATCAGAAAGTTAAACTATAGGGGCACTGTAAATTGTTCAAGGGTGGTAAGCTGTAAAAGGCTTCTTTGTGCCTTAAAAAGTTCCACAGCTAGAAACATTTTGCAACAGCTATACTATTGCTGCAGTGCTAAGAACATTCTGCCATTATCCTGCTGCACCCAGGATACCCATTGTCCTRGGATGTCTGATAAATGTTAGCATCAGAGCTAGGCTGATAACATCCTTGCCTTTGGCAAGGAATGTTTCCCAGGCTTGTCTTTGCCAACACCGTAGGATCTGATAACGGGGGCTCATCTGCTCTCAACACCCACTGATGCCCACCGCATCCCTGCACTTTTATTGTCATGCCAGGGATCAAACTCAGGGCCTCAGGTATGCTAGGCAAAAACTCTACCACTGAGCTACATCCCTGGTCCATGACCTCCCATTTTTAAGGTGTAGAAATGTTAATAGGGTCCAGGTCACAGCACAATCACCTTTCAAATTCTGTCCTTTCTCCTAAGATCTATAACATAATGAATATTCTTAAAGATCTGGAAATAAACTTCCCTTACTGAATTCTGTGTCCTCAAGGAGAAAAGGAATAGGAGCTTAAGAACACAGCATCAAATACAGACCAAAGCACTGCCAACACAGAGAAAAATCTGGTTCTAGATCAGCGCTCTCCAATAGACCTTCCTGTACCAATGGAACATTTTAATATCTATGCTATCCAGTACAGTAGTCCCTAGCCACATGTGGCTACTGAGCACCTAAAATGTGGCAAGTATAAAAATGAACTGAATTTTTAATTATTTAACTAGATTTAACTAATTTAGTTAATTATTTAACTAATATTTAACTAAATTTAATTAAATTTAGTCATATGTGGCTAGTAAATACTATATTAAGCAGTGCAGTTCTAGATAGAGCAAAGTGAATATAAACTATGTAGAATTAGCATTCTTATAGGCATATGTGACTTATCCAATCAGCTTTCCTACCCCCACCAAACTTAAAGTCAGAAGCAATCATAACTATAATTTTGCTCCTTAGATATCTGTTCAGGGATTAATGAATAATTGATAAGGGAGAGAGAGGGCAGAAGGTTAACAGAAACCAACTTAAAAGTGGAGGTAAAAAAGGAATCTACTGGGCTGGGGTTGTGGCTCAGTGGCAGAGCGCTTGCCTAGCATGTGTGAGGCATTGGGTTCAATTCTCAGCACCGCATATAAATAAATGAACAAAATAAAGGTTCATCAACATCTTAAAAAAAAAAAAGGAACCTAAATATATATAAAAAACTTGACTACTTGGGATTAAAAAAAAATCACATCTTTTAACAACAAATAGATAGATTCCACTTAAAAAGTCGAAAAATAGTCCCCTGTACAAATGTTATTTATAGTAACTGAATGTGCCAACAGAAAAATATTACTATGTGTTTTTGTCAATAAAAGGACAAAAAAAAAAAAAAAAAAACCTAGTCTTACCCAGAGGACATGGTACCAGACTGAAGTTCCACCGAAGTCAATGTGGAAATCTGTATAGCTGTCTTGAACTCCCATTAAACAGTATTTCTGAACAAATGGCTTGGGAAAGACTGAATCATCTGGCCAATAATTTTCCACCCAGGAAAGTTTTCTGGCTATATCAGGGACCTCCACCAATTCAGACATCCTTTAAAAATAATAATTTAAAAAAGTACATACACATACCCCCACATAAAACAAAACTTCTTAAAAACCACTGCTCCCATGTTAACCCAAACCAAGTAATTAACTGGAATTCAAGGTTAAAAACACTTAATTAAAAGTTTAAAACTCATTATGTCCAAATATTCTCTGAGGGTGCCAAAGCAAAAGATGTAATATTACTACTAGTGGACAAATTTACAAGTCACAATCATGTTTCTTACTAAAATAAATATATCATTAAACTACATTTAGCTAACACTCAGAATGCCATATCAAAATGCCCAGAATTACTCACTTTGTATCTGAAAATTCAAGGCTGATCACATTTAACACTTTTGGTCTGTTAGGATTCATGAAATATTTAACATAATTGTGAAGTGTCATTTTGCTGTCTGCCTGCCTTGCCACATCAATGACATCTATCACTTTGTCACCACCTGCAGAGAAAAATTAGAATCTTATTATTGGGCTTAAGAGTTACATCAATAGATGCCCTAAACAAAAATAGTTTAAAGACTGCATTCGCGGGCTGGGGATGTGGCTCAAGCGGTAGCGAGCTCGCCTCGCATGCGTGCGGCCTGGGTTCGATCCTCAGCACCACATACAAACAAAGATGTTGTGTCCGCCGACAACTAAAAAATAAATAAATACATATTAAAAAATTCTCATTCTCTCTCTAAAAAAAAAAAAAAAAAAAAAGACTGCATTTGCTTGGTATGATAATTAAGCCAACCATAAAACTATATATCTTAGGCAAAGGATACTTCTTATATTCTTACTTTTTAAGTCCAACTGGACATTTTGAAGAGATAATGTATTATAAAACAATAACAAAGAGCTGCAAAATTAATACTGAGTGTAAAAACTTACAGGGCTTAYAAAACGTATCAATGATTGCTTGTAACTCATAATGGCAAAAAAATACATTGTATTGGGATGTGAAAATAGACGTCTAATACTTTTTGAGTTTCAATTTCCTCATGCATAAAATCAAAGAATTGGCTTTTACTTTTAACTTCTGTAACACCTAAAATTCTATCGATTTGAAAACCCAATCAATCGTTGGGAAATTAGTGAGCAAGTTGACTAGAACAATTTCTGGGTTTTGTTCATTTGTTTGTTGGTAGCAGGGACTGAACCCAAGGGCGTTTTACCACTAAGCCACATCCCCAGCCCTTTTATTTTTTATTTTGAGACAGAGTCTCACTAGGTTGCTTACAGCCTAAGTTGCTGAGGCTGGCTTAAAACCTGTGAATCTCCTGTCTCAGCCTCCTGAGCTGCAGGGATTTATAGGTATGTATAAACCTGGGGGGTTTTATTTATAGGTATGTATAAAACCACACCTGGAGATTTGAACAGGACAATATCTGCTCTCCTGGTAGTGYTTTCTCTTAACTCTCAAGAAAAAAATTGGTGGTTAGGAAGGAAAAATCAGTTCATTCAGTGCCTGTCTGAATGCCCAAGTTCTGAGTTATGATTAATTCACAATTTTCCTATAAAACCATGACATGATAGCTTGCATTACCACCCTAKAAAGTGTAATCAGTTACATAATGGACTAATGAATAGTTGGAATTCAAAATATGGCAATATTTAACCAATCTGAACAGAAAACTAATAAATGCCATTTTCTCAGTCTAATTTCACACAGGTTAATAACACTGCCTCATAGATTRGTCTTCAGGATGTAATATAGTTACATTACTAGTATTTCAACCAAGGTGCTTTGCAATACTGAAAAGTTAGCAGTCCAAGCAGTTTTATCCTATACTTACATTACATTAGTCATTATATCACAGTGCTATCTACGCAAACAGGTTTAAGTTAAATGTCAGCCTCATCCGCTAATTTATCAAATTCAAATTTAGCTGAATGTGAAGTTATGGCATTAAATGGATTTCCTTAATAAAACAATCATCCACGAGAATTGTTAACCAATAGTTCAATAAAGGGACAAGTTCTTCTACATTCCAAGCTGAAGAGATAATGTATTTTAGTGGACATATAATTTTAAGTCAAAGTGGATCTGAGATGTAATCCTCAAATAATWATCTTTCTACTCCTGACAAGGAATGGCACACACATACAGTCAGCCTTATCTACAGATAACATGAGGAGAATAAATGAAATGACTGAAAATGTCAATAATACAGCAATCAGTAAAGGGCTTTGGCCCTTGTTTCTTTTTACTTTCTGAGCATCAAAAATCACAAATTAAATACAGATGTTATTACATTGCAGTATTCACCAAGTTATTAAATATACAAACAGGTCTAAATATAATCTCTTTTTACAGCCTTTCCTCCAGGCAACAAGTCACTAAGCAAATTCCAAAAAACTGTTGTCACACGAGCTCTAGGAATTCTGCATCTGCATTCTACAGAGGCTCAGTCCCAATCCAATTTCTCCATGTATTCTTGGCATCTTCAGCAGCCCCTCAGTCACAGTTTTCCCTAAGCAAGTATCACAGAACAGCAGGATGAAGCTGAGTAAATAAGAATAGGTAAAACCTTTCCCTCTTTTTCTGACCATTAATTCAGATCAGCTGAAAAAAGCAGTTTTCAACAAAGGTAACAYTTAGTTTTACTTTTCCTGACCCATTCAATTTTAATACTGTTAAGACACTTCCATTTTTACTTTCACCATGTTTTGCCAAGTACTTAAAGGAACCAAGTTCGTACCTACATAACGTTCCACATCCATCACAGAAAAAGCAGGTGGAGGGAGCCTGAGTCCTAGATCATCTAATTTAGAGACCATAATAGGGACATCAAATCCATGTTTTTCCAGGTATCTTTGTGTCAGCTGGTTGCCATGCATCTTTACAATGATTTCATCGGCACTAAGAAAAACATAAGAATAAAATGTCGTTTTTATTGTTAATTTCAGTTTTAAAACAATACTATGGTAATGGATTACTTCATAAATTGCATAATTATCTGCATTAGTGGTTCTCAACCTATCATACCTAATTCTCTTAATAACAAATGTTTTATAAAACCCCTTTTGCTATTCTAAAGGAAAATTCATAGRTAATATAATCTATTTAATTCAATACAAAAGAATTAGAAAAACATAAGGTGCTCTAACTATAAAAAGAAAAAAACTAGCTTATAGTAAAATATGTATTTCAATATATAAATGTTCAGGTAAATTCTACTAGAATACATAATAAAATAGTAGGATATTTAAAATTAGGTGTAAAGAAGGACTGAGTTTAGGAGAAATTAAGGATCAAAAGTCACACAATACAAGCTGTGTAGAAAATAAAMAGAGCAATAAAGGGTATAATTTTTAATTTAAAAAAAATGGTGTTAGATTAAGTAAAAACAGATTAGATTTTATCTACACAAATATTTGTCAGACACTTCAAAGGGACATAGAACAATTAATTATATGTATATATGACATTGAGACAAATGTCCCAAATGCCCTTGATAAGAATTACCAATTTAAATGATATGTTACAACCAGTATTCAACAAATTTTATTACTAGAAGTCACTTAATTCACTAAAACTTGTTGAACTCAGGCTGCCCTCTCTGATCATCTACCCAATCATAATTCCACAGAAATTCAGTATGCAGCTGCCATACAAAAATAATTGTAAAACTTGCCTTACAGGTTAAAACACAACAATTTCCATTTATCCAATCAGAGCTTAARTATTTAATGTCATCTGTAACTTAGGTGGATAGGAGCTGGTTCTCTGAATTACTGGGCTCTGATCTTCCCACCCTCTTAATAAGGAAAGAGGAGTTTGAAAACCCGAGACAGCCATTTCCTAGTCTCACATTTAAGAATTTAGGTTTTCTTCATCTGACTCACCTACTGATCTTGAGTTCTGTCCCCATCTTTTAGTTTCCCCAAAAAGCATCCATAATTATCCCTTCTTCCCCCACCCTCTGAGGATTAAATAATTCCTTAAATGCCAAACTAAGAGAGAATTTTAAATCATCTATGTTCCTTGATCTCAAATGTTTAGTGGTTTACTTCCCCTATTGATCAGGAAAATATATATATACCAGTACTAAAATACAGATACACTATTTGCAAGAGGAAAACAACTGAAGACAAATTTAAATATATATCACATGGGGATGTTAAACAAATTATGGTATGTATACACTACTGCAGTTAAGGAGTGTAATAAATCTGTGTATACATATGGAAGAATATCTATGAAATAGAGCAAAAAAGTCAAGTTATACAACACTATGCATAACTTAATTTTTWAAAAAATTATCTGGAGGCTGGTGTTGTGGCTCAGCAGTAGAGCACTCGCCTAGCACGTTCAAGGCCCTGGGTTCAATCCTCAGCACCACATAAATAAAATAAAGGTATTGAGTCCAACTACAAGTAAAAAATAAATTTAAAAAAAAAATTATATGCATCAATATATGTTTACACATAATGTTTTAAATGTTATTGTTTATATAGAAAAATATCTTTAAAGATACTACATAGTAAAATAGGGAGGGGATAGAAAGCCTATTCACTTAGTTTTATATACTTCTGTGTTAACTATATCAAATATGTTTGATTTAGTAATTATTGTTACTCCATTAACATGGTTTTAAATAATGCAAAAGCTCATGGAATTAAAAGGAAACCAAAACCTTTAATTATTGATAATTTCAATTTGGACATTTGTGCAATCTCTAACCTGTTCTAATTTGTGTTCATTTTTTGCAGAAAAACCATGCAAATTATTAGGCCTATGCTTTAAATAGTACTTTTTAGGAGGTCACAAATCTATGTGAAAAAAGTAGAGGCGTGGATGGCTCTTATGCCTGAAAAATGCACACTCACACACTGGCACTAAACTGTATATATAACAAAAATCATGTGGAAACATTATGTTTCATATGTTTTCTTTCTGTTTCTGTCTCTCAACAGATCTGATAAAGCCAACATGAATGCTTACTAGTATATGTTTCTGTTTAAGGATTATGAGGCAGAGGGACAGATAGGAATCCTAAAGATTGAAGAAAAACAGCAGTTTTCTTTTTTCATTTCATAATCTGAATCAGTTCCATTATAGGCTGCATGTGATACTGTGATTTAAATTTAAATTGTGCTTCCCCTCTTTAACAAGCCTGGATATGATCTTGTATAAAAGCCCATTAAGCATTATCACTTTAAATAGATGTCAGGCAGTGAGGAGGAAATGATCTAAATTAGCATGATTAAATGCTTTATAATGCTTTTGACTCTCTTTCACAGACAACTCAAATACATTCTATTATTTTTAAAAATCAAAAAGCTCAGTCCTGCTGCCATCAGAAGCTAAGCAATAATTGTGCGTTCTTTTGGAGATCTTAGGGCAGAGACAGATATTGAAAACAAGACAAGGGGAAAAAAGAGTTGGAAAGGAGTGAAGGTTAGGTCAAAGAAAAAGAGAAGCAGCAGCTGCATACCTGGTAGAAACAAATACTGGGAACAAGTGTTTCAATCACTATATTTCAAAGTTTTTGAACTGTGACCCACAATTAAGAACTGTATTTTTACATGGTGCTGCACTATGTAGATAAATATAACAAAAGTTTCATRAAACTATGCTTACTTACTCCCATTACATTAAATGTACAAATATTTTCTATCCTATTTCATTAAGAAATAAAATGAAAAGCCCATTGAGAACAATAACATATAGTAGTCCAAAGTTTAAAAATACTACTTTAGCCAGCCTCGGTGGTGCACACCTTATTTTTCACTAAAGTTTTAGARAGTTAAAAAAAGAACACACTTTTGTAAATACTATTACAGCAGCTCAGGAAGCTAAGGCAGGAGGATCCTGAGTTCAAAGCCAGCCTCAGCAAAAGTGAGGTGCTAAACAACTCAGTGAGCCTGTCTCTAAATTTAAAAAATACAAAACAGGGCTAGAGATGTGGCTCAGTGGCTCAGTGGTTGAATGCCCCTGAGTTCAATCGCTAATACCAAAAAAGAAAGAAAGAAAGAAAACACTACATTAGGGCTGCAGTTGTAGCTCAGTGGTAGAGCACTTGCCTGGTATGTGTGAGACCATGGGTTCGATCCACACCACCACATAGAAATAAACAAATAAAATAAAAGCTCCATTGACAACTAAAAAATATTAAAAAAAAAAAAAAAGAAAGAAAACACTTTACATAATGTCACTTTATCAGCCAACATTCTTACATTGTTTACATTGTTTGATCAGAGCAAGTTTTCCATACCTTGGGAAGACTCGAGATCTTAATTCCTTAACAAAAGTCCTAGTTCCAGCTTGCACTGGTTTGGAACCATCATCAACTTCTGTGTAGTCATGCCTGTGCCAGTTTCTCCTCTTTTTCACTAAAGTTTTAGAAAGTTAAAAAAAGAACATACTTTTGGTAACTGGTAATACTATATACTTTCTCATTATTGTAGTCTATATTTATCAGAAATAATAACTAAGTACTATAAACTCTCAAATTTTTAATGCATTTCCAGGACACAGAAGTAAATTTTACTTRATCTAATGTTGCCCTTATAGACAATTAAGTGTAGATTTTAAAACTTACTTTTTTTATTTCAAAATAATTTAAAAATTAAACCAAAGAATTCAAATCAGCAAATGAAACCTTTTACAATATCTACATTTACCCATACCAGAATATTTCCAAGTAATTTTAAATTATGATTTTTACTGGAATATTAGTTCATAACATAATTATCCAGATCATCTAAATTATCTTCTCAGAAGAGGGTCTTTTATCCCACATCAGAAATATCTTTTAACAGTATGATTTCTTTTTCTTTTAAGATTTACTCCCAAATAAGCACATTTACCCTGACAWGAAAAACTGAGTGGTAATTAAAGCGAGACGGTTGGTATGACAAAATAAACAACTTTATGATTCGTTCCAATGCTAAGAGCCTATGATTCTACAGCTCTGACTCAATCTTGAGTAGTCATAACAATTAAAATCAGGAGACTAGTATTTGATTCTTTTCTATTCCTCTTGCAACCTTGGGCAAGTTACTTAACATCTATGGATCCAGATTTCTCATGATAGTGAAGGGGATAGGTTAGAGTGCTGATTTTCAAACTGTGAGGATCTCTTCACAAAGAGGGAAGTGGAAAGAAGCCAAGGGAGAAGCTCTGGACCTCATTCCTCTTTCCACCACAATGGTGCCACTTACAACGCTTTTGTGTGGTATCAATGTAAAATTTCAGTTTTAAATCTTTTTTTTTAAGCTTGAAAGTCACTCTTATGTATAAAACCCCCATGATTCTGGCAAATATACTGATGTTTGCAACTTATTCAGAAATTCATCAAAAAGAAAAAAGATGAATACAAAGTGGGATGGTTGCATAAAGAGATAAGTGGTAAAGCAAGTGATGTAAATGTTAATAGTAGAAGCCAGCTGGTGAAGGTTTATAGGGAGATGTTGTAAAATTACTTCAGCTTTTTCTGTATTTGAACATTTTCATAACAAAATGTAARGGGGAAAAAAACAACTCTATGATACCAAGGTATTTTAACTTTCACCTTACCAAGATCATAATAAGACAATAATACTTGACCTTCATTTGGATAAAGAGGATCACATCAAATAATAGGAGTGGAAATAGAGTCTGAAACAAAATTCCAAAATAACTTATTGCAACCAGATCTCCAATATGGAAGAGAGTAAATTCCATTTTTTAAAAAATCTCACAAGAAAAATTTAGAATCACAGAAGAATCTTCCTAGAATATTCCATGGAGGGATCCTTTGTATGTTATTTTCTTCCTCACTTAAAACCACTCCTAAAATTCAAAGGCATTTCATTCCAGGTTTTTTTCCCCCTACTAAACACTGATATGTAGTTCCATTTATTTTCAAGTGGGATGACAATGTTTATCCTGCTTACCTCTCTTAAGTCATGAGCATTTTCTCCTTTTAAATATTCAAAAGCAATCTAAAGGCAGTCTAGAATTTTAAGACGTGAATGTACCATGTTATAATTATTTGTTATTCTTAAGCACTTAGTTCATCCTGAATCTTTCTTCAAACAAAATTATGGTTAGTATTTAGACATATTAATCTGTTCCCCTAATTAATTTCTTAGGGTTTATTTCTAGAATTGCTAGAAGGAAGATCATAATTTTTTAGATGCTTGCTACATACTACAAAACTGCCTCCAGAAAAGCATTAGTAACTTGCATTCCTACCAGTACAGTATATAGTTAGCCTGGCTCAAAGCTTCCCATTAACAATGAGGATCATCATTAAAAAAAAAAAAAGAAAGAAAGAAAGAAAGAAAAAGCTGCCGATTTGATAAGTGAACAATGATAATGCACTGCTTTAATTTCATTTTTGCAGAGTAATCAATGAAGTACACTGGCTTTGGTATTTGACAGCTAAGGCTTCAAACTCTAGCTCTACCAAACAGGTATATATGAGAACTACTTACTAATTTTTCCTATATCTCTTATCAAATTGTTATAAATATCAAAGGGGAACATAGATCAAGTACTTACCCACTATCATACCCTGGTATATAATAAGCAATTACTATCATTTCTTTAAATGTGCTGACTTTAGGAGATTTAACAGAAGGATACAATTGTCCTATTGAACCAACATGCTTAAAACATAAAATCAGCCACTATAAAGGCTGGCTGAGAGGACAATAAAAGGAACATTTTAGTAGTATCACAGGGAAAGATGAAAAACTTCTATGTTTGGATTACCTGTGCCTGAGGAACACAAAGAATATAGGTTAAAGTGCCAAGCTGTTTTCTGAGACTTACCCTAAATAATATCCTCAATTCCCAGAGGGTAAAGTCTAAAGTTATCATATTAAATGAGTATTATGTTGTCTAAATGATATCTATAATAAAGATTTCTGGGGAACTCTGAAAGAATCAGGAAACCCTGGGTAGCAAGCGAAAGAGGTTTAATAGCAGAGGGAAAGAAATCAAAAGTAATTACCCAAGTTGGGGTTGATGGTGAGGGCTGGGAGAAGGTGAGCTTTAAATCAAGACAAAATAGATTATTGAATATTGGGCATTTTCCCTCTGAGTATTCAGAGCTGGCCCTCTGCCCAGAAGATGCCTAATCTTTAAGTTCTTCAAGAATGAGAAGCACCCCAAGGGCCAGATAATAAGCAAGCTACCCTCTAAAGCATCATTATTCAAAGTGCAGGTCATAATCCATTATGGACTATATAATCAATTTAGTGAGTTTGACAAGTTTTTAAAAAGATGAAATCACACAGTGAAAGTAGAAAATAGAGTGCATCACATGTAGTAGTACATTTTTCTGCCTCTAAGTAGTAACTCAATATTTCACATAAATTAAATTAAAATTATTTCATTTTAGGATTATATACTTAAATTCTAAACTAAAATTGTTAGTTCTTTTTGTCCTGAGATAACAACATTGTATTGTTTACTTCCTCCAAGAATTATTCTTAGGCAACAATTATTTCAAATTGTATACCATATACTTCAGTGCTACAGAGTAAAATCCTTTAAAAACATCTAGGACAACAAACTACTCAATTAGACATGTAACAGTCCTACCAGTTTATTAACCTTAAGGTTTATACTGTGTAACTAACAAATTAAAAAACCTGTGTTTCCTACAAAAATACTTCAACGCACTCATAGAGCCTAAATTTCTAATTCTCTTACAAAGAAACTGTTAGAAAAACTACTAATATTTCTAACAAAACAGATAGATGAGCAGTCACTTGCTAGTAATCTATTTTCAATGATAACTTCAGAGCAACATTTCCAATTTTTCTTTTTTTTTTTAGTTGTACACAATACCTTTATTTTATTTATTTATTTTTATGTGGTGCTGAGGATCGAACCCAGGGCCTCACACGTACTAGGTGAGT